AGTTATTCCAGCCAATTGGCTATTGTGACATCTGTTATGTAAAAAAAAAAAAATTACAAAGCAAATTCAGCTAAAATGCCTTCACCTGAGGAGCAGAGGTAATGTAGAATCAAAACATTTTCACTCAGTTCATATTGAGATACTGTGTTTCCCTGAAAATAAGACCCTGACTTTTTTTTTTTAACCCTGAAATAAGCGCTTGGCCTTATTTTCGGGGAGGTCTTATTATTTTGGGGCGCATGGAGCAAGATGGGGCTCCTCTTGCTGTCTTACCTGATTTCCAGCTCTGCATTTAAATATTTTCAGGGAGGGCTTATTTTCGGGGAGAGGCTTATTTTCGTGCATGTGCTCAAAAGCCCGATTGGGCTTATTATCAGGGGATGTCTTATTTTCGGGGAAACAGGGTAAAAGTTTTCCAAGATGCAAAGGTGAATGGAATTTATACCCATGTATTCTGAAGGTTTGGTTTGGTTTGGTTTGGTTTGGTTTGGTTTGGTTTGGTTTGGTTTAATTTGGATCTGGATCTGGATCTGGATCTGGATCTGGATGGAACAATGGAATTGGGATAAACCCAACTGCTACCTTTAGGCTCACTTGATACCCTTTGAGATGATCACATTTCATTATTTATTTCCTACTTCTTCCTCTAAGTAAGTAGCAATATGTTGCAGCCAAGGCAAGATATAATGAAGATTCTGAATCTTTTTATAAGGAACAAAGATTCAGAGATGTGTGTCCTAGCCAGAGTCTGTTCCAGTTCTGAAATCAAGAGTACCCAAGAGTCCCTTTTCAATGCAAGATCCCAATGAGCACGAAGGACCAAACTCAAACCTGTTTCTGGATATACCAGATCAGCCATACCTTCGCCTCCATTTGACTCCTGAACATCCCCAAACCCTTTGGGCTCCTAGAGCTCCGATCACTTGGGGGCGGGGGGGGGCGGGGAACGAGACCTGGGAGTCAGGAGGCGTGGCGAGCTCTGAGTCGAAGGCTCTCACCGCCTCTACCCGGGCGCCCCTGCACCTGTGGGGGTGGGAGTAGGCGCTGTGCAAACAAGGTCAGGCCGCCGTTCGCCGCCGCCGCCACAGCAGCAGCAGCCGCGTTGCCCGAAGCGAGCAGCGGCAAACAGCCGCTTAGCGAAAGGTAAACGCCTCTCAGCTTGATCTGGAGACGCAGCGCCTCGCCTGGGCTTAATCAAGTTGGACAGCAATGCCCCGCCGCCCATGCCAAGCGCTGGCGCTCCAAGGGGCGAGGCGGAAAGCGAACGGCCGGGATGATCCATCCAAACACAAACCCGGGTGCAGAGTTTGATCTGGGGGGGAAAGGGGGGAGGGGGTCCTCCCTCCCCCTTTCCCCCCCCCCCCCCGCGATTAAGCACAATGCGCACTTTTTCCCCCAAGTCCCTCTTCGCTTGCGATAAGTCTGATCCCCTTGCCCAAACCTGCTCGAAATCCACATGCGAGGTAGTGTGTTTATAGGGCTGCAGAAGGAAGCGGAGGAGACGCTTTGAAGTGAAGATAGGCTGGGGCGGATAGGGGGGAGGGAATGAGAAAACAGATCGAGAAATCCTGGGGTGCGGTTCAGCGGGCCTGCCCATTGACCCAGAAGTAGACTGCATAAGGCTCGTACTGTGTGTATCCATACTTTCTCGACTCCCGGGTTTTCTCCGGTCAGGTGGAAGTCAGGCAGGTAAACAGAGCAGCCCAAGTTTAGATGGAAACCAATGAAACCCAAGGCTTAAATCCTCAACGTGGACCTGTCCGTCTCTTGGAAATTAAAAGGGTCTTCTCTGTAAATTGCTCGCATGTGTCAAGTGATTAATTTGCCCCCCCTCCCCCGCCTCCCTTTATTTTAGCAGGACTAAACGTTATAGAATAAATTTAAAGTTTTTTTTTTCCCTTAAGGATTAACCTATAGAGAATTTACGTGCTATGAGTTAAGAAACCTTAACGGGGATCCCTACAAACACTCGAATTGGGATTCGAATTAATGTATAAAAGACGATCTGGCGTTCAAATCCAGAAACTCGATCCAGTGAAAGTGATGTATACGAATTCTAAAACACTCCTGGGTTACTTCTTTAAGATCAAAGTAATTCTTGACAATGCAAAACCATTTCCGTTGGATTTCACTAAAACAACGTCACGAGTTGAACATTTTTTTTTCTCCGGGGCGTCCTTTTCCGAATTGATTAATGGAGGGGGAGAAAGATGGCGCGGGGGGGGGGGGGGGCGGATAGAGAGACAAACTCTGTGATAGTCCCCCTCTATCTAAGACAGAACGCTTAATTCCGCAATAAAAAAAATAAGCCGTAAGAAAAATTGCGGGGCGGAGGGCGGGCGGAAGAGGCTTATATTGTAATGTAGTGTTGGTTCATTAAACAGTGTGTTACTCCTGTCGCCTTGGTCATTTTCTCCCCAAGATCTGGAGATACACACATACGCACACACATTTGTGTGTGCGTGTGTGTGTGTTTGTGTTAGAAGAAGCCCACAACCCTAAATCACGTGGCCGCCGTCGTGCTTCCTCTGGTCCTTCTCCGTCTTTTGAGTTTTGCTGTCAAGCTAATATATTGTGACGGCTCTTCTCTCTTGTGACAAAGCCTCGCAGCTGCCTCTGAATCAATAGATGTCAAAGAAATATGAAAACAATCATGACAGAGAACTTAAATCCTGGCGAGAGTCTGCATAATAAAAATAATGTTTAAAATGTGCTTCTGTTCTCAGGGCACCGGATTACTTCCCCCCCTCCAAGTTTAGTCCATGTTATATCCCTGTACTTTCCTCTTCGCTCCCCCCCCCAACCCCAATATGGACCCAAACACACTCTCCCAGCAGATACATCTACATCTGTTGAATTTGTAATGTAATTTGTAATTACTGCCCTTCATGTGGTCCAATGCCTTGAACCATCTTTAATTAAAAGCATAATTAAGGGAAGATCTAAAGAAAGACAATTACCAGATGGTCCTCTCTCTCTCTCTCTTTCTCTTTTTAGACTGTTCAAGGATGTATAGTGGTCCATCTTTAATTTGGACACGTTGCCCCAGACCTAGTTTGCAAATGTGACAAGGAAAAAGAATATGTACATGCTTACGCTCCTCTGGGGGGGGGAGGGGGGGCTGGGGATATTATGTGGCGGGTGAAGGAAGGGGCCAAGATTGTGGTCTGGTCACTAAGTCTAATCTTCCCAACGCTTAGATTTTCTCCATAACTAATTTAAATGATCTCTTTAATCGTGAAATAAAGTAAAACAGCCGGAGAAGGACCGCGGATTGTTTCAAATCTTAAACTTCCCCTCTTTTTCTAATAAGTAATGTGGGCGCAGAGTTCACGACCTCTTGAACTTTGTGCTCAAGTAAATGTCCGCGAAGTCTGACCAAAGCAGCGCAGTCAAAACAAAGCAGGTGGAACCCCGGCAAGCAAGATTCCTTTATCTCTCTCTATCTTCCTCTCTCCCTCCCTCCCTCCCTCCCTCTCTCCCTCCCTCTCTCTCTCTCTCTCTCTCTTTCTTTTTTGTCTTCCTTCCTTTCTCTCTCTCTTTCTTCTTCCCATCTGATTTGTATATACTGTTATACACTATTTATGTTTTCTTTCTTTCTCTCTTTTTTTGTCCCTTCCTTCCTTCTTTTCTTCCCATCTAATTCGTTCATACTGCATACACTTTCTTATGCCTTAAAACTATATATCTGCGTTTCCGAACTGTCATCCTGTGCACAGGTGATACAGAATAAAAGCCGTGTCCTGGAGGAAGTAAAAAGTATGAATTTCTTCGTTCTATCCACATTTATTATACAAATGATTCGGAAAACCTATGAAGAACAATACGGAATGGTTATTTTGCTCGCCCGCCAGGCATTTATCATTGCTGTTAAGGTTCTGGCAGCCGCTTTGGACTGTGGAAGTGTCCTGAATACCAGAAATAATAACTCTTCTCCCCCACTTTTTCAAGTCAAGTTATTCGACGGCTAATCTCCGAGAACGGTGTCCTTTTTCTCCCCCTTCCCCTTTTGAAAAACAGGATACCTTTCTTCGAAGGGGGTTCTTCTTTAAGCGACATCAAAGCGAAGCTGGTTTTGAAACGACTTCTCTCCGCCTAAGAGAGCTTCGCTTTAGAGACAGGCAGGCAAGAAGACGCAGGGAGGAGGTTAAACATTTGTGCGCCCCCATCCCCACATCTCAGAAACTGCTCTTTTACTCGTTGTTCATTTCCACCCACGTTTCGAAGTTTCAGAGAATGCCATTTACTGGGAAAGAAAAACACGAGAAAATATGCCTCTCCTCTTCCCCCCCCCACCCCACCCCACCGCCCCATATGAATAATGCAATGACTTACACAACTGGATATTAGCGCAAAATTTCTAGGGAAAGCTAGACATAAAAGAGGAGCTAGAACAATGCCCTGATATAAATTAAGTTTGGGCTGTGTTGCTGAAATTTTATTATTTGAAACGTCCGTATTCAAAGTAATGCAGAAATGAATTGTAATAATTTTGATTATCTTCAAGATAGTTTCTGCACAGGACGCAAATTGTCAAAGACATTTACTGGGGGGCAGTATATTCTTACTGCTCCGTAAGTCCATTTTCCAGACGGTTTGTCCTTCTTGCTGCATGATTTAGTTTGGGGGCTTTTTTCATACATGGATTCGTTTACATTTACTTCAACGAAAGCGTTCAGCCAGACTCTTTTTTTTTTAATGCAGATTGGGGGGTGGGGGGAAGAAGAAGTGTCAAATTCACCAATGACCATTGGGTTGACGCCTTGGGGAAGACCCCCCCTCTCCCTATAGTTGTGTTTTCGAAGGGCTTTCTTCCCTAATAAAATTGAAAGATTTAATTTTCTAAATTTCTAATTATTGGGATTTTCTTGAGCCAAAGTTTAGCACTAGTAATAATCCCTTTGGTTCAAGTAGGAGATACTAAAAGGATTCAGTAGCAGGGTGCTTAAATTGGGCTGGATTTCATATATAAAGCTAGATTATATAAACAGTTCCAAAGCTTTTCAGATATGGATACAGGAGTTTATGTTTATTCGTTTTTCTTTTTCTTTTATTTCATTGGGATGAAATTGAAATAAGAACCTATGAAGAAAAGAACTTTTATTTTTTTTTTAATTGAGATTTATCCTCCAAGATTGCCTCCCATCCATTCTTGCCATGTCCATTTTGAAACTTCCTGTGCCTGGATTCTTATCCCAAGAATCTTTTCGACGCCAGTCGCTGCCACAGCGGTCCAGCTCTCAGCACCTCTGTCCAAGGCGCTTTGCAATAAAACGGGGTCGCTCCGTGGCGTTGCTGCTTGCGTTGTTCCCGTTCATGTTAAAAGAGGACTGGCGCCTTCTGTATGAAGAACCTATAAACTTCCGAAGCAGCCTTTATTCCATCGCTTTAGCATTCTTTGCTTTTCTATGACAGTGGTAATGATTTAAGATTAAAGATTATGAATGTGAGGTGTCTGGGCAGATCCTTTTCTTGCGCTGATTTTCTCTTTCGATCAAAAAGCCAGCTCCTGACATGTTAAATGCATCCTCCTACATAAAACTCTTGCTTCCATTTCCAAAAGGCTCAAATTTACCATCTAAATATATTATGTTTGTGAAATGTCTCCCTTTGTTGGAGCTTTTAACACCTTCTTATAACGAATCATTTATTCTTTTCTCTTTAATTCTGATAGACAATTAGCCATCAGATATACACCAGTTGACTGTAGCCGAGCATTAAACTCCCCTTTATTTAACGCTAATTTAGCATAGCTGCTTTGTTTAACTTTGCCTTATAAGAACCAGGTTTTGTAGCAAAACAAAAACAAAACCAAAAAAACCCACCAAATAGGTATAATTTTATGGGGGGTTCCATTTCTTTTGGCCTTCTCCACAGCAAGCTCTTTCCTCTTTGTAAATCGTTCTGCTGGGCAAGCACACCATTTCCTATTGCCTGGCACCTGGAGTCTAGGAGAAAAAATTAGCATTGATATAGATTTAGTTGCAATGTAATCTCTTAAATCTGTCCAAGATTCGGGGAGATAATTACACTTTCACTGAATTGCCAAGGGTCAATGTCTCTGTGGACCTGAGGAGTTGATTTACTAACAATAGTGTTACATAAAAAATGGTGTTTGAGATTATAATGCTAACAGAGGCAGTCACTGGGGAAAGCAGGCAAGCTAAACTAATTTGATGGAACTTCTGTTTTGTCCCTTTTCTCCTCATATTTTCCTCCTGTTCCTTCTTCTTCATCCTAATTCAAATCACTTTCAGTATTTAAATTTTAGAAATGAGATATACAGCTATTTTTTTAAATTTTCCCTATAAACTGAAGTTTGGCTAAATTAGGAAACAAGGCAATTATTTTGAAAATGAAAAAGAGAGGAGAATATAGTGTACATCATTCTGAGACGTGGTTCATATCCTGACAAATGTGAGGGACCATGGGCTGGAACTGACGTGTTTATGATGATTTTTAAATGCAAATTTTGTTCTTTCCTGTTGAGAATTGAAAATCCAAAAACCTTTTGCTAGAATGCAGTGCAATTACTTTCCGGTACTTGCTCTCAAATAAACTCTGTTGTGATTTACACGTTTAGACTTGATTATAAGAATGAAGTATCCAGAAAACCAGTGAACCAGTTTTACAGTTTTTCTATTTTGAATTATTAATAGTTCTAATAGAGCTGCTGTCGCCATATGCTAACATTTTGGTTATTGTTCTCCTGACTTTCTCCCCCCCCCCCCCATTTTTTATCACTAAGAGAACTCAAATGACTCTGTGATTGGGCCACCAGATACATAACACTAAAGGCTGATCCTAACCCAACTCTTCCGGAAAGAGCCCAGCTAAAAAGACACCTGTTTGAAATAGTACACATATGTTTTTCTCACCCGTCCAGACCTACAACTCTCAAAATTCCCAGTAATGCAACCAACAACCATGCTGATCAGGCATTTGGGCAACTGTAACCCATACATGTTGGAGGTCACCAGACTGGGAGTTAAGGTGTAGCATTGGGCACAGAATGGTAAGTGTTCGTGGATGGCTAAATTATTATATATTGGCCCAGTTTAAGGGCCTGCTTTTCTCAGCTGTTTCCTGGAAAACAGCCCCATTGTTGCCAGTGGGCTTTCTTCTAAAACAGAGCTGCAGCTCAAGCTAAGATTTTGCCAGATGCTCACCAGTCCATGATCTGCCTGCAACATGTCTTCTCCCTCTGTGATTTCTGACTACAGATAAGATACTTTTGTTCCTTGGATTGTCCTTACAAGAACATTCTTTGTCCTACTTATCAAATAGGAGCATAATTCACCTGACCAGCCCTCTTTTGCAATGCCTCTAGGTAATTCCCTCTTTATTGAACTATTGCATAGGTTATTCTGTTGCACTTTTACACTGCCCTTCCCTCTGCCCTCTTTACTGTCTCCTGGCTGCCAAAAATGGGAGGGGGTATATAAATTCCTACTCCATACTGATGAAAGCTCATGCTCTGGATCACTGTCAAAACAGGCTGTACTCTACAGAAAGCTTCCATCATTATAAATGCGTTTGCCTTTATTGTGTCTCGAGATTCTTTGATAGCTTCACTACAATAGACCTACATATACAGCTGCCCCTCTGAAACCTGTTAGGATCTTTTTCTTTCATAATAGTCCATTAGACTGGAGAACAGAGCAGCCATTGCATTGAAAAAACATGGCTTCCATTGATTTTTTTTTTAATGCCATTTTATTGAGGATGGAGAAAGCCACCCCCTCCCTCAAGCTGGGTATTGGATAAAGACCAAATGTTATGGACCTTGCTTTTTCATTCGACCATTAATTGCTCCCTTTCTCTTATCTCTCTGGTCATTTCTTCACTAGTGATCCCCAGCACTTTCTAGTGTCATCCAGCCATCGCTGTAGGAATATTGTTATTGTTACTATTATTGAAGCCCTTGTGAAGAAGTGTGTGTATACATTGTGCAAACTGAACTCACAAAAATGTGAAGAATTATTCAACAAGCTCACAAGGAAACTAGAGTCCAATAATCCAAAGCACAGGAAAATCTGGGAGGTTGGCAAAATAAGCTTTTGTATGCTTAGCCAGAAGTAATTCCAACAGGCAGTGTGTGCCCAAGCTAGCGGTTGGGCTGTGCTGCATCCCCCATGCAATCTTTTGCATCCCTGTTCAGAAGTAGGTCAATGAATTTACTTTCAATTTTGAATTAACTACAGGCCTGCTTCGCCCCTAAAAAAAAAAAACTGCAAAATAATTCTGGTCATTAAGAATTTCCGCTTAACTGGTTTGTTCTGTTCAGCTCTGCCCTTAAGAACATTAAGTAGATAGATCATGGCACAGGGACCAAAGGCAGCGGACCACAGGCTCGTTAAACGCATCTCTGGGGGAAGTAGACTGAGTCAGGTAAGTCCTCCTTTTGCAATTGAGTGGCTCCAGGAGAAGGCCTGTGATGAATGCAGCCTTTTATTCCCAAGGGCGGCCTGACGTCCCCCTTTTCACCCAAACTAGTTTGCAAGGTAGAAGTCTGAGCAGAGTCAAGACAAAGGAGATACTCCTGCCCGTTACAAGCAGATGGTCGGAAAATGCATCAGGGATATTCAGGGGAACTTCTCAAACAAGCGATTAAAACGCTTGGCCACCTTTTTCTATATGCACACCTGAGGCTGGCTGCCAATGGAGATAGCTAGTTAGGGCTATTGGAGTGAGCGAGAAGCTACTTTTTCTGGGCACATGGGACCCCCGGAGCCCTTCTTTATGGACAAGGGGAACTCCTTGCCCCTCACCCCACGAGGACCCGCAATTAGAAAGGAGGGCAGGATTCCCTCGGCTTAAGCGAGGCATAGCGGAAGGAGGCTCGAAGGAGAAAATGCTGACAGGCGAAGGGAAAATAACCGAGGCAGAGTTCGCCTCAACGTGGCAAACGAGGTTGCTTTCTCCTCCCTCCCAAACAAACGGCGGGATCAGCCGCCCTGGAGGCTCTTTGGGGAAAAGGCAGCTAGGAGAAAACCCCGCTGACCGCCGCGAGGGGCTTCCAAGTTCGAGAGGGCGTGGCCTGAGGGGCGGCGCCTCGGCCTTTGGAATCTTCCAGTTTGGCTGAAAACGGAGCGGGGGAGATGGGGCTTTTTCTCCCACGTGCGCGGGCTGAGGCAGACGTTTGCCTCCCCCCCTCCGTGATAGAGTGGAACCAGCGCCGCATTCTTCTTGTCACCGCCATTATTATTGTTATTATAACAATATTATTATTCGCCAAGGTCAAATGGCGCCTTTGAGCTTGAACTCCTCCCAAAGCCTCGTGGCGATCAGGCCCAGGCTTTTGAGGCCTGCGCGAACTTCGCCTCGCCTCGCCTTGCCTTTCTGGGTGGCTCGAACGCCTCCCCGGGCGGGCCTCCCCTTCGAACTCAACCAGCCGTTTATTTATTTGTCCCCTTAAAAGTGGCTGCGCCGTTGCCATCCGAGGGCCTTCCTTGCAGGTCCTCTCTAGGCGCCCTTTCAATGGTTCCCTCTTGAGGTGGACTTTGGGGGGCGGGGCTGGTCGTGTCTCGAGGACTTCGCTGCCCGGGAAAGCCAGGAGCCACGACGCCATTTTGGCGCCTCTAACGGGCGTTTCGAGAGTTCTGGGCTCGCGCGTGTTGTTGTTTTTTCCCTTCCTTTTTTTGCTTCTCTCGGCAGAGCAATCTATATGTTAATTGACAAACTTGAAGATTTAAGAAGGTTGTGGCAAGTTATCATTTGCCCTGTCAGCGACTTGGCCTCTTTGGTTGTAGCTCTTTTAAACGCGCCCGCTCGGTATCGGGGCTGTCAGCTAACAGCTTGCCAGCCCCGCTTACCTCCCTTTATCTTATGGCACGGAAATGACAAACGCGCTGCTTTATCCATACAATTTATTTCATTATTGTTGCCAGCACGAAGCATCACAATCAATCATAAGGAAGCCCAGTTGGCAGATGTCAATCTTGGTCTGGTTTGTACGTCTCAGTCTATATTTAATCCAATTACAAGGGTCAAGGAGTAAGCGCAAATCCCCTTGTTACAACTCACATCTTATTCAAGATTTAAAGTTTTTTTTTTTTTTAAAGTCAACTGGGTCACATGGTCGCTTTGGGAAAGCTCTGATACTTTTCGGAGAAAACAGCCCCCTGCACCTCTTCCCTTTATTATTATTATTTTTAAATTTTACTTTTATTTCCCTCCTGCCTGGTTGCAAATGATGCGGCAAGAGGTTCTAATTGTTAGACTCGCTGAGGTTGGGGGAGTTTTTCTCCTATTCTTTTTAAAGGTGTGTGTGTGTGCGCGGGCGCGAGGGCGCGCGTGTGCAAATGAAGTATCTTGTTATTTTGCTAAAGGAGAGGAGAAGCATTAATAATAGGGAGATCTTTCCGCTCGCTGCCCTTTCAAATGCAATTGTAGATCGAACTCAGTCTTGTCACGTCGAGGAAAAGTGAATTTCTAACATCCAGGACGTGCCTGTCGACTTTCAGCGAATTGCATCCAATCACCCCCAGGGAATTCAGCTAATGTCTCAGTCCGGGGAGGGAAAAAAAAAACGGTGGGGGCACAAATGCTTGGGGACGTGGGGCAGAAAAACAAATCAAGCAACATTTGCCAGCATCATGTTTATTAAGAAATTGTGGGAGGGGTTTGTGGAGGGGGGGTGTTGGAAGGAGAGAATGCCTAGATCTCTTCAGAGCCAAATTAAGAATCCCGAAGGACGCAAGAGCAAAGCTCAGAGTGGGGAATCTGACTTCTTCCCTTAGCTGGATTCCCCCTTCCCCCAAAATTAACCTTAAACTAGGGGTGTAACCCTCTGTATTTGCTGACTCTTAAGACTTCATAGAAATTATTCTAATTTTCCTTTTTAAAAAAGATATCTCTTGGTTTTTCCATCCTTTCATCTTTCCTTCTTTTCTGAATAGCTGACAAACCAGAAAGAGGGGATCCCGGAGTTTCAAAAGGCTTTTGCAGAATGGTGTTCCTACCTACACTTTTTTGCACTACATCTGCGTAACCACGAGTTTCTCATTGTCTGCTTATATCTAGGTTGCCCTGAATATTATTCTTCCTTGCACCAATTTTCTTTAATAACCAGCAGCCCATACCCCCAATAACAACAATCAAAAAGACACCATTAGAAAGGAATCCCATTTTTCACTTCCAAAAGACTTGCTTTTATTTATAAAGGGAGCCAGATATATTTCTCCAGAAATCCCAATTAATTCAATAGGACCCTTTATTCTAACAAGGGTTCTTAGGCCCCAAAACTTTAAACTCACAGCCTTTACATCTCATTGGGATGCTGAACACCTACGATCAGATCTCTCAAGCTTCATTCAGAAAGAGCCATTTTTCTCAAAGTGTGCTTAAAATAGGAATGAGAGCAATGCCAAGATTTGCCAGTATTATAAAATTATACCAGGCAGTGGTAACATTGGGGAGGCAGTTATTGACTAACAACATGCAAAGGGAATAGAACTACGGATCGAAGTCTCTTGCAGTTTTATAAATGGAGGGTTGGACTAAGACTATTAATACAGCTATGCTGACCAATTACAGCTAATGAAAGTTTTGTCATTGATTTTAATCCAAGTTGGATTATATATTAACCCCATATGTTTTATGTCTCAAAAAACAGCCGTTTCTTCCCTTGTTACTTGACTCTACTTTAAGTCTTCTAATCTCATCCTAAAAATTAATCTGCAAAATAAATAGGGAAGGTACTTAGACAATTAAGTATACAAAACAAATATAGACCTCTAGGTGTCAAAATATAAAGGTGCAGTGACAGTTGGGAGTATTTCTGCTTTGAAGTTAGTCTTACTCCTATGGGAAAAAAATAATTTTAAAAAACACATACCTTGGACAAAGCCATCAGACTCCTTTTATGGAACATCACCTTTGTGCCTTCTACAGTATTCAAGCCTTGTGTCTCCTCAGATTTTCCCCCTCTCTCTGACTCGCTTGAAGTCATTTTTCCCCCTTTAAACTGTTTCATGCAGCCAGTCTTTCTCGGACCTTATTTTGCCGTCTGTTCGATGCCAGTAAACAAATTGTTCTGATGGGCTTATTATTATTGCTCAAGTTCTGCTTGGATAGAGAATTAAACCTCATTATTACAGCTTGTGTGTGCGCGTGTGTGCGTGCGTGTGCGCGCTGAGAATTGCTCTATCTAAGTGAACACACGAGGGGGGGAATGTTGCAGAAAGAAAGAGGAGAAGGAGGGGGGGACTATTGCAGTGTAAATCAAATATGTAGAGTGCTTATAAATTTGTAACACATTACTGTTGCTCCTTGCTTGCGTACCATTCAAAGAGGCTTCACAGCTTTCAAGTCTTCTGTCCATCAGAAATCCGGAGCAGCAAAACGCCTCCATTGAAAGCAGCGCTTGCTTTTCTCTCCCCGCTCCCCCCCCCTTTCCGGGCTCAGTGCCCTCATTAGCGCTTTATCTACCTAGACGGCCTGTTAATTTCCCCGCTAATGTCACCCTGGAAAGGGGAAGCTTTCATGGCGCCAGCTTTGGAGAGCTATAAATGGTGTGCAATAAAGTCAGCTGAAAAGAGGAAAAAGAACAAGAATCAACCTGCAAACGGGAGGGGGGGAGAGAGAGAGAGAAAGAGAGAGAGAGAGAAAGAAAGAAAGGGAGAATGGGAGACCGCAGGCCTCTTCTGCCAAGCTCACAAATTCTATTTAAGGTGATTCCTCTGTTATTGATTGAGGAAAGTTTGGAGAGTTCTTCCACCTCGCACCTAAGCGGCTAGGAAAAGAGTGGAGAGCATTTCAGATCTAATCCCGCGTTCGTTTTGGCTGGCTTTAGATTAGAGGAGGTCACAGAGGTTTTCCAACGGGAGCCTTAAGGGGACTGGGAGTGTGAGCGCTTTCGCGCGCGGAAAAGAAAGGGGTTTTCAGTTCCTATTGCCTGTCACTCTGCGCTAGGGAGACACAGAGTGAAAATCGCCTGAAAATGTGTTGGGGGGGAGGGGCGGGAGGGAGGGAGGGAGAGAAAAGCAACTGGTAATTAAATTGCCATCTGATCCAATGGAGGTGGCTGAAACAGTCCGAAAGATCAGGAGGGCGGCCCTCTCTTAGCGCCCTCCGCCCCCTTTTTAGGGACACGTCGAACAAGATCGGGCCTGTCGTTTCATTTGCTGTTAAATCCAGATCAGATCAGGATCAGGCAAGGCCAAAGCGAAGGGTTTTTTGTCCATCACCCCCTTTTCCGTACCCCTATCTAGGGTCCGGCCCGGCCTGGCGTTTCTTTGGTTGGTGTTTAATTCTAACCCAGCCCGGTTCCCTCCCGGGAGCAATCCCCGAGGCGAGCCGGAGCGAGCGGCACTCAGGCGTTGGCTGGGGAACTGTTTGCTCGCTGCAGAGGCCCGGCCAAGCAGCCTTGGCTTTACGCCTGATCGGTTTCTGAAGAGCCGCGCCGCTTGGCGCGAAGGCAAGGCAGCACCTGGCCCTGCTTTTCGGAGCCATCTCCTTTATTGACAGCCAGATAAGCAGGCGGGAGCGTGGCGTTTCCAGCGCTTCCTTGGAGAACCCTGCTGGGTTGCAGGGAGCCCGAGTCTTAATGGCAGCAACTCCAAACAACCCGGGCAAACACGCTGCCTGATAAGTCGTGGATCAGCGCGCCCGCCCCTCTGCAGGGAGGAAGCCTTCCGGGGGCAGCCTAACCCTCTTCGCCCCCTTGCAAAGCGCTGGTGGCCAAGAAAGCGCCGTCGACAAACAGGCAAGAGGAAGGCTGGGCATCCGGCGAGAACCAGAGAAGACCACGGATTGTCTTCCTCCCGGAGGCCTTTAGTAGTTCGGCAGAGAGGGACAACCTGAGCCCTTTGATAGGCTATTTTCCCTTTCTCGAGCCTTTTTTTTTTTTCTCGGTAGAATTTCTTTCCCCCGGTATCTCTCTCCCCACTGATGTCGAGGGCTCAGTAAATGTGTTCGTGGGAGAGAGAACCCACTTAGCGAATTAATATTTGGAGTAGAATGAAAAGAATCATTTCCTCTCATCCTGTACTTATCCTGTACTCACAGGTTACTTCACCTGGAGCCCTGTCTGTGGGAGGACCCCCGCCCCACTTCCACCCCATCCAGCAGGGTCTCCTTCAGAAATTCTTTTCGTTCCATAGAAGACTAGTATTGAGGGACCTTAAGTTGGACACTTAAGCAGGTGCTGGAAAGGTAAGTTCCAAAGTTTTGTAGAGTTAGTCTCCCTCTTAGCTAGAGGCCCAAGAGATGGACTGAGTTACCTTCCTGGTTCTTTCAGCATTTTAATTTCTCTGTGTGTGCTCACACCCTCAGCCCCAAACATACAAAGACCTCAAACATACAAGAGCCCCAAACATACAAAACCATTACTTTCAGCTGGGATTAAGGTAGATCTCCAAGACATCCCCAACCTGGGGCTTCAGGATGTTGGGGACCTGTGAATGTTCGTGCAGTCAAGGTCTCTACAAAAAAGGATGTGCGAGGATTCCTCAGCTGAATATTCTCCAAAGTTAAGATCCTGAGGGTTTTAGGAACCTATCCTAAACAGAATGTGTGGGGAGAAATGGGGCAACAATAGACTGGGCTCTCATTCTTGCCAGTTCGGAGTCTCTCCACAATAGAGAGGCCTGTGGGAAAACATTCCACCTAAGTTTGAGGTCTTTAGTAGATCAAGGATCTTCTTGTAGTTCTGAAAATGTGTTTGGACAAATGAGGGAACCATCCGAGAAAGCACTTGACAAAACAAATAGTTATGCAGACCACATTCTTTGAAGAACAACTCAGAGAACATTTTAATTTAATATGTTTATTTATGTTACTCAATATAAGGAGGGGGGGAACCTGAGAAATGACTAAAGGGAATATCTGTGCCTTGAATTTAAAGTAGCTCCAATATTTTGCAATGGGGTTGCAGCCCTCAAAATCAATTGCCCGCCTGGGGCCTGCTTCTAAGTAGTGAAGCATTAGCTTGTACAGCAAGTGTGTCAAAGGGATGAGTCGAGAAAAGAAATAGGATGTGGGGCCAGGGGAGGGGAGGGGTGGACAAGGGGACAATATTGTTTAAAGAAGAGAGCAATCTACTCTTCTGAGAGTTTTTTCTTCCAGCAGTTTTCAGGAACCCATTGCCAGACATTTTCCCCAGAAATATTCCTGAAATACTGATGTACAATTAAATCACACCTGAAACTTTCCACTGTGGCCCAGTTTCCTGGCCAAAGAACTCAATGTTGCCAGCGTATGAAGAAGGAAAACCCACAATAAAATGGAACCAGAGGTTTCCAATAAATAATAGCTAGCAATTCTTATTGACATTAGTGGACAATGTACAGGAGAGTTTGAATAGTGCCTTAATAGAAAAATGATTATCATTGCTTCCCCAAAAATAAAAATCCCTTGTGGTTCATAAAATAAAGGAACAGGCATGTTTTTAAGCTAATGGGATCCAATACAATGTATTTAAATTTATCTCTCCACCACCACCACCCAAAAAAACCCCAATCACTAACCAGACTTGGTGCAGAAGACATGCATTTAGAATAGAAGCCGGTGGTTTCAGGAAATTACCTGATTATTAATATTATTATTGATTACCAGAACCGAAGTGACTTCACAGCCCTTTTGTACACCGCTTCACAGCCTGGCTTCTCCAAGTGGACTATCTCACCAATATCACTAGAAGAGAACAATAAAGTTCTTGCTATTGAAAAAAATGGTGAGTTATAAAACTTAGCCAAACTATTACAAATAATTCTTGAACTCCAGCTCTCCTTCCTTCCACTAACCTACTCTCCCAGGAAATGTCCCTCAAGAACAACTTACATCAGGAGGACACTGCCCTGAAAAGACACAACCCCACCCTAGGGACGAGTGTTTAAAAGATTTTTAAAAAGTGGGTTGACTGGGGAGAGGGGTATCCCTGAAACAGCGTGTTCACTTCCTGAAAAGAACTTTTACTTTCCCAGGATCAGCCTCCCTAATGTTTAAAGAGAACACGATCGGTCTATTTTGTTCTCTTTTAAATTCTTTTGAGACCTGGAAGGGGGGGGAGGCAAGAGGGGAGGGGAGTCGAAGAAAGATGAGAATTTGTCCAGTTATCTCCATTCGAAATGTCCCTCTCTCCGTGCCCGTGCCAGTTTTTTTTTTAGCCGGCCAATTTTATACATAACCACACCGTTCATCCCCACTGACATCACTACAAAGCGAAAACGCGGTCAATCGTTGTCGGCCCTTATCTCCCCTCCTCCCTTGCTGCAACCGAGGTCGCCAACCATAAGCCCGAGTTAGATTCGAACTGTTCCCGAAGTTAGAGCTGGACTATTCCAGAAGCAGAAACCTGGGAGCCAAGGTGGCTTTTCCCTGACGGCTGAGTCGTGGGCGGAGAGAGGTGCATAGACCCTTTATTTTTTTTCCGCCTTAGATAGAGACTCAGGGAAGAAAAGCCACGTCCTCTTCCAGACTCCTTGGCTCCCTTGGTCTTCAGCCTAGGTTAACCTGCCCAGGGGATTTTTCCATACTCCTTGGGCCGAAGATACTAAATACTGGGAACACAGCGGACTTTCCTGTCCAGTCCACAGAAGGAAAGAAAGCAAAGAAGAAGAAGAAGGAGGAGGAGGAGGAGGAGAGAGCGGAGTAAAAACTGGCAGTGGAAACGGGGAAGGCAAAGGAGTGAGCTGGGGGGGGAGGGGGGAAAGAGCCCTGGTAGCGCAGCAGACTAAAGCACTGTTATTAACACCAGCTGCCTGCACTTACTGCAAGTTCAAATCTCCCCAGGCTCAAGGTTGATTCAGCCTTCCATCCTTTCTAAGGTAGGTGAAATGAGGACCCAGTTTGTGGGGGCAATAAGCTGACTTTGTATAAAAATATACAAAAGTATGAAGGCTATTGCTTAACGCACTGTAAGCCGCCCTGAGTCTCCGGAGAAGGGCGGCATATAAATCAATTTTTTTTAAAAAAAGGAACCCCAAAAGCAAAGATTCGGAGCTCAAAAGAAGATTCGGGGTACCTTTGAAGAGGAGGGGGAGCACTCCTCCCCCTTCCCCTTCCCCTCCCCCCCCGCCCCAATCTCTGACAAGCTTGTCCGCGGGAGTTTGTGCAAGACGGATCGAGCGCAAAGAGGCTGGAGACTCAGGCCGGCCGCCTCCACGTGCGCCTCGCCTGGCCTCGAAGTTTCAGCAATGGCCGCGGGAAGGTGAGCGAACCCGGCGCTGGGAAGCTCCTGCCTTCTCGGGGAGAAGGAGGGGAAAAAAAAAAAAAACAAGGCTTATTAGCTGAGCCGCTCTAACTGCTCTCCGCCGTGACGTCACGGGGGCAGCCCAGCCAATGAGGGAAGCGCTGGCGCTGATATTAAGGGAAAGTTAGTGCAAAGCTAAGCGCTGGCTTCTTCTTCTTCTCTCTCTCTCTTTTTTTATTGTCATTGACATTTAAACTGTGTGGCAGATTCTTATGTAGAAAATTGGCGATCTGACTTGCCAGTGACCGACTCGCAGAGGCGGAATTGGGAATCCGCGGAACATGCGCCTCCGCCTGCCCTCCCGCTAACAGGTAAAACAAAAACAAAAAAAAAAAACATTTGTTGCTCTTTATTCCGTCGTTTTCGAGAATTTGCAGAGGGGCTTCTAAAGCCATAGACTCCCGCAATTGTTTCGGGGTTGTTGTTTTTTCCCCCCGAATTTTCTGCCCGTCGTGGATGTTTACTTTTTTGTTTCTTTGTTTTTTGCTTTCGCGTCTGGAAGCTTTCTCCCTCTCTCACGCACAAGCATGAGCGTTTGCACGAAGATTTATTTGGCTCTCCTCTTCTGCCCGGTTGCTGATCTCAAGGCTCTTGTTAAATCTTTATGGCGGGAAGCGGGTGGGGGGGGGGTGTTGGTGGTTTGCCGTTGCTGCGACCCTTGTTTGACGTCTGGGCTGAGCTGGGCGTCGTCGGCTAGTCAACTTCTGGAGCAGGAGAGCTGCATGCGTGCCAATGGCTAGTGAAGCAGAGAGGCATTTTATCCCCCCGTGAAGCACCGTGTCGTTGACTGGACAGGTGTAGCCCAAGCAGTGCAATTATAGTGGGAAGCGGATAGGAAGAGCCAGGAAAACGGCCTGGACCTTCCTTTGCAGTGGAGAACCGAGGCCAAAGAGGGGTGGGAAGACCGGGACTCTTTTCCCCGCCAAAGCACCACGGGCGTTGGGGAGGGGAGGCAAGCAGGGGAAAAGTAGTTGTTGCTTATTAAAGAGGGGAATGGAAGGTTTGCTACTTGAGCGAGCCCGGAGCCGCGGCCCTCGCCTTGGTGCTCTGAAGTTCAGGCAGGCACCGAAAGAATGCAGCGCGCATTGTTGGGTAGCATTTCCTATCCCCAGTCCGAGTGATTTGAGCTTTCCTTGGGAAAACCTAATAATTAACGATTCTCACTGAGGTAGAAAGAAAAGCGCTTCGGGTTACACGGGGACTCCGGCACACCCTTGCTCGCCTTGGGCTTCAGGCAGCTTAAAAGGGCTCTGCCGTCGGGGCCGCTGGGGAGTTTGCCGCTCATTTCGGGGCACGTCAAGAGAACCTCGCCTGGCGGGGAAACTTTGGCGGTGGGGTTGCTTGTTTTGAATGAATCCGAACTGGAGCCTCAGAGTTTTGTTTTGTTTTTTTCCTTCCGGCCGTTTGCCAACCCACCCCGTCTCAGTTCACCCACGTGTTCGGTCTCACTTGGGCTCTTCGGTTTGAGGTGATGGGTACATTTTCTTCTCAGTTCTGGGTGGTTCCCGTTTGGTTCGGTTGCTGCTCCAGAGCAATACATTCGGGACCCCGAAAGTTTCAAACAAGGTAAAAAGTCCCAGGTGCAAGCTTCACCCTGGCGCGTTTTTGCAAGCTTTCCACTACTGCTGCTTTCCACTCCCAGCCATATTAAAAGACTGAGGAAGGAGGGGAGAGTAAATACCAGGCGTCAGGGGTAACCTTGTTTTAGACCCTGGTCCACAAGTTAATTCCTCCAAAATCCACACCTCGAAGCCGACCTGCTGGTTCTGTTGAAGTTAGAACCGGCAGAGAGGAACACATAGAGTTGACCTGTAGAACTTTCTCCGGAAGAATTCCCTTTAGGTCTCAACCCTGAAAGACCTTCAAATCCTGTATTGCAAATTCTACCGCTCTATCCAGTTTCCTGAGATGTCGTCTCACCCCCCGACTTTAATTATCCCGGCTTGCAGAAAACACAGGTGGTGCGTTATGGTTGGAGAAAAGGGGGCAGCCTAGATACCGGCTCTGATTTCACTTGTCAACTGTTGCCATCCGGATAAGCTTTCTCGATCCGATGAATAGGCCGTGGAATCCCGAAGTGAAGGGGAAGTTTTTTTTTAAAAAAGGCTGGGTATGGAATGGCGGAGGAATTTCTTCCCAAAAGGTAGTGTGAAGTCTCAGGTAGACTGAGAACACTGAAAAAAATGTACACAGGTAGGCCAGAGGCGAGCAGGAAGGCGTGTTTGGTTTTTATTTTGCTTTTCTGTTTTGCTGGCGGTGGCAGCTGCAGAAGGGAAGAATAAGAATGGAAACCAAAAAAATATATGAGGAAAAGGGGGAACCGTTTCTTGGGAAACTCTGTGCTGAGTTGCCGCCTTAAGCCCTCTTATCTAAACAGCAGCGTGAGTCGTACAGGAAGGCTATCTTCTGAACGGGTTTGGCTTAAGCCGAGCATATAGAGAAAGCTGCCCATCCCTGAGAATAAATCCCAACAAGGCTTCGAATCGTTTGTTTAGGATTGCAGCCCAAGGCAGGTGAGCTGTGTTTCGAAATCTAGATGATTGGGTGGGGGTACTTAATTAGGGGAAAAAAGGATTAGTGGGATAATGGCTTTTTTTTCCTCCTCCCCCTTCCCCCATTTTTCTTTCATTCACTCTCTCGGATGAAGTCTGCAGCCTTTCAGTTCTTACCATCTCTTAAGGTGCTTTGGAACAAAAAAAAAAAAAATTAAAAAGGAGGGGAAAAGTCCACTTTAATCTTCTCCAGTAAATGGACATTCTGGATGGGTAATAAATCAAACACCCAGCCTCGCAGGTCCTCCTCCCTAATTAGAGATGTTTATTGGAGATTGTGTTTATCCAGCTGTCACGACGAGAAAAAGCTGTGACATAATTACCTCTGACCACATAGTCTTTTATATGCATATCTCGTTGACATCCAGCGCCATCCGATCGCATTAAAAACGACAAGATCAAAATGTTGATCTTCGCAGATGGAAAGTTTTCTCCACCTTTACCTTAATTGAAACTAGCTCTGGAGGAACGGCCCGATTCAGTTCCCACTCACCTGCACAAAAAGAACCATCCACCCACGCGCACCTATATGCATTTGTATATCTCGGTGAATGTTTTATTTTTAAAAAAAGTAGTTTGTGGGTGGAATAGAGTCAGAACTCCTGGCGTTTCCCCCCCCACTCCCTAGGATGCAAATGCAAACCCACTGAAAGCTGTCCGTTTCCAAATCCACGCAGAGAACAAGGAAACAAAACACTCAAGACGATCTTTGGGATTGATAAATGTAGGGTTGTCCAGCTGATGTTTTTCTCCGAACCACCCAAGCGATGCCTAGAAAGGAGGAGGTGGAAGAGAAGAAGAAAAAGAAGAGGCCGAGATTATCTGTCTTTGCTCCGGCGGAATGTTCCCCTTTTTTTTTTTTTTCCTCCTGCAGCGCTCCGCTTTGGAGGAAAAGCCTGAGAATCGGCGGTGGCTGCAGTTCTGGCGAAGTCTCCCTCCGCCTTTTTTGAGCCGGCTCTTCTCTTCTGGCAGCGTTTGGGGAAACCATCTGCGTGTTTCTGTTACGCGGCGATGATAAGCTAAGAATTGCTCTGTAATTGAAAATATTTTTTTTTGTGGGGAGGCTGGCTTGACAAATATCAAGGGGGCGAGTCTTTTGATCCTTTCTGCCGCTGTGTTCTCCAGTCGCTAATAAAAGTCGCATTGAGCTCCTTAGTGCCTTGATTAACAGGCAGATTAAGTGCTTCGGGGAGGGGGGGGGCTCTGGAACAGCTTGTTCCAATCAATAGCGTTTAGAAAGGCCGTCAGGATGCGCTTTGCTGATGTGGTTTCTCGCGCCTCTCTTTTCCTCTCCGTTTTCACTTTTTGGAAGAATTTTCCGGGGTGACTACGGGTAGACTTTCTTCCCTGCAGTATGAAATATTAAACTTTCTTATGGTGGGGAAAAACAAAAAAGAACAAACACGGCGGTGGCTGCCGCCTCTTTTCAGAGTTCCCCAAGGCCGAGTCCTTTCTCCACTCCACCCCCCCCCCCCCCTTCATTTTTCTCTAATCCTTGCACAAAAAAGTGCCTTCCTGCAAAACGCCTAATGCAAAAAAAAAAAAAAAAAAGAGGTTAAATCGATTCCAAACTTTTTTTTTTTTTTTGCAGATTGTTGCTAAATTCGCCAAAGCTCCGTTTAACTCGGTGTCCGGCGCATTAGAGGTTTCAAGGGCTTCTCCCCCCCAATCGAAGTCGGCAGCCGGTGTCCTGAAGGCTGAGGCGTTGTGGAGCGACCCGTCAGTGTGGGTGAATCTCTTTAGTCTGAGACTGAAGTGGACAAGAGGACTTTAAGCCCTTTTCGGGGTATTTATAAAATAGTGCTTCACAAGGCAGATCTTAATGCAAGGAGACGATCTAAGAGCAGTTAATTCAGTGATTCCTTCTGAGGGGGCACCCCTCCCCACCCTTTAAATATATATATTTATTTATTTAATAAATAGATTGCACTTCCTGGGATTCAATGACAGCACTGAAACAAGCTGTATCAGTTATTCACACTTCTGTCTTTATTTAGCACTCGGGAGATAAACAAAGATGCTGGTCTTTCCCCTTCAGAGAGCTGCCAAAAGCTCTGAGCGATTCGCATTTTTAGCAGCAATTCTCGCATTCCCTGCTTTGCTTTGTGTGGGCGAGCTTCAAAAAAGGGGAAAGGAAAAACACGAAATCTAGTGACTGAGAGCATTCGCAGTAGTGCCGCAAAAGGAGAAACGATCGATCCACCTACCACGGCTGCTTTCCTTGATAAGGCCAGGGATCTTCCTCTCGCAAATTCCTCAGACGAGCTCCCACACCTGTAGGTTCAAAACGTGCAAGCCATTTCTGACCGACCAGCTTGGAATTTCACCTGACACTGACCGTCACATCCAAGACGCGGCTGTATCCCTTGACAAGCAAGGCGAACCTACCAGTCATGTCTGTATTGTTATTATTTTGCTGAACACGCAAGGCAGCCGCTCGCGGGCTTGGGAGGCGTGCAGCTGGCTTTCTCGGGCGCAAGAAGCCTTGGCCTCGAAGTCCCCCGCTGACCCGAAGGCTCCCTGCGTCGAAGCCGAGTCTGGCCCACTGAGAAGCTTAACTCTCAGGAAATCGGTGAGCCCCGGAGGCTCTGCCGCTCCAGGCTCCAATAAGCAACGCCTCCCTCCAGGACCTGATTGTTAGTGCCGGCAGCCGGGTGAGAGAGGCAAAAGCCGGGCTGCGATCCTAGGCGCTGGTTTTTGTTTTTGTTTTTTCTTTCCTGGGAAGAAGCCCTTCTGGATTCCTGGCACCGTCTCCGCTTCAAACGTCTTAAGGAGAAACCCTTAACGTCTTTTGAGAGCTTGTTCTCGGTGGCAGGCCTACTAGATCCCGGGGATCGGGCTGCCAGCCTGGTGGATCGGGCACGCAGTTGCCATCCAAAGTCTTCACCGTTAAAAAGCCTTTTCCACCCCCTCTTCTTGATCCAACGGGATCTCTTGAAGAAGAGCCCCTTTTTCTCTCCCAGGTCCGTTTCTCTCCATTTCCGAGACGGGCCGGTCGGTAATCATCAATCAATTCCCCCTCCCCTCCCTTCGAAGCCCGCCAGTCCCCCCCCCCCCCCCCCCCCCCCCCCCCCCCCTCCGGTCCCATTTGTCCCTGGCAGGCGGGCCGCCTGGGAAGGAGCGCCTGGGAAGCGAAGGCTGCCACTTCGACGAGCCCTCAAGTTCGGGGGCCAGCCCAGGCGCCCACCTGCCCAGACCAAGTCGGCCCGACTGAGTGAAGCTCAGAAGGGGGGGGGCTCTCGCTTTTGGTCCCCTCCCGCGCCCTGAACTGATTTTGTCTGCCCCCCCCCCCCCTCCTCCTCCCCCTTTTGGGGGGGTTTTTTTTTTCAAGCCCCCCCCCCGCCCCTCTCAGGAACCGGAGTAACCCCGACTTAAAATGGCGTCTCCGGTCACGGCCTCCGTCTCCTTTGCCTCCGGTGGCAGGTAGCGTCTCCCACCTTCCTGGGCCGCCCTTGGCAACCGGGCGCCGGTCTGGGGAGTTGCTTGGGCCCACCCCCCACCCCCCCCCCCCCCCCCCCCCGCCGCCCAGGCCCCGACCCCCGTCCCCACCCCCCCCCCCCTCCCCCCCCCTTTTCGGGTCTCAGCCCACGCGGCCTCCCACGCCCTCCCTGGCCCCTTCACTCACGCGCAAAGGACGCCCGGATCTCAGGGACTCCTTGCCCTCCGATCGCTGAAGTGCCGGGCTTCGGGGCTTAAACTCGCTCCTGAGGAACGTCGACGCGCGTCTATTCCGAAGTCAAGCCCCGCCGAGTTCAGGGGAAACTTCCCTTTAGGAGAAAGCGAGGATCTGGGAAGGGCCGCCTATGTTCCCAGCCCCATCAACCAAGTTCCCTTCTCACGCCCATTCCAAGCCCCCCCCCCCCCCTCATGAACCGGCCTCTCCTTTCTTGAACCCTCCTTGTAAGGCATCCGGGCCCACGGACCTCGGCTGCTCTGCCTGGCCCTTTTTGCTCGCCTCTCTCCCTTCTTTTCACATAAATCCTGCTTTGCTTTCTCACGCCCACATTCTACACGCCTGGTGCTCTTCCTTTCCCATTCTCTTTCACACATGCACATTTTAATACAGGCCCTTCTTCGCCCTTGTTCTTTCCTCTCCTCCTCCTGCCCCCCCCATCCTTCTCTTTCAACTTTTGCTTTCTTAGTTTCAGAGGCTCCTCCGCCTTCCCTCGCCCTCTTGTCCTCCGAGTCCTGATAAATCTGCAGCCATCCCAGGCGCCCACTCTTTTTATCGATCTTTTGTGGCCCTTCTCTCCCTCTCTCTCTCTCTCCCTCTCTTTTCCTTTTACTCAGACTTGCTTCCTCAGTTCTTCTAGTCCCTTTTCTGCAATGACGTCAGATTATTCACTATTTCCCTCTCATTATTTTTTTGTTCTAGTTTTTTTTCCCCCCCTTTAAATCAGCAACTAAGAAAAGGAGACACACAAGGCCTTCTGTGCCCTGAGGGAAAATAGCAACAAGATTACGGCTTCTTTCTTTTGGAGATGAAGCATATAAGTAGGTGCTAATCCAAAGAATGGCTAATTGAATGGTTGTAAAAATGATATTTGCCTGAAGATCTGGGTAGGGAGCTTGTGGCTTCTCCCCCACTCACTTTCCTTTTTTCCCCCGTCTCTCTCCTTTGTTATTGCTGTAGTTGTTGTTATATTTCTCAAAAGAGTTAACAATGTTTTTAAACTTAAAAAAAGAGAAACAGGGAAGTTTAATTCTTTTTCATAACATCAGAAGAGTCTAAACAAATCGCACACTCGGTAAACTCGTCATGGTAACCTCCACTTTATATTTTATTTTATTATTTTATTACAACACTATTTAGAAGGGCTGATGTCCTTTCGAACCACTTGCTGACTTAACAAGTTAAGTTTTGGAAAGGGGGAAAAAAGTCCAGGTTTTCTTAATTTAGGAGTTTTTTCCCCCTTTTTCCACCTTTCTACCAAGATCCTTGTTGAAAAGCTCATTCTAAAGTTTTCCTGAAGCTGGATTGAAAAAAGATGAATAATTTAACAATGAATATTAAATTGACTGAAGGGGGTTATCACCCTCACATTAAAGGGATTCAGATTTACTGGGGCTGATTCAAGAATAAGAGTGGAAAGTACCAAAGAGAAGGGGGGGGAGAACCAGTTCATTTTAAATAGATCTAAATTAGCAACCCGAACAGCCTTTCAGCACACACCAGCAACTCAGCCCAGGAAATTCTCAAGTTCCTACTTACCTTTACGGAAGTCCTGTTCGACTCTTACCCGGTGCCTCCCCCCTCCCCTCCTTTTCCACCATTATATTCGGGTCCGATTACAAACTTAGTCCCCACTCTCCAGTTCAGTGAGGAAAATACAGATTGCCTTAGGCCTAACTACGGTGGCTAAAGGGCAAGGATTGGTCCAGCCTGTCCGGTCCGCTCTTTTCTTCAGCAACTGAAGGGACGGAAGGGCTGATTGAGCACCCCCACAAAAAAAAAAAAGACCTGGAGGGGGAGCTTAAAGAAAAAAAAATCAAGATCTGCAAATAAAAGGAAAGGAAAAGAGCCAGATTCCCCAACTTCCTTTTTTTTTTTTTTTTAGATTTGCAGGTCACCCCACCCACCTTGGTTGCACAAGGACAGGCAGCCCCAGCCTGCAAAAAATCAGCCAGCACCAAAAGTTTGTCACGGAGAGATAAATCCTGAATTTCAATTCCAGCCTCTTCAATTTCTCCCTTTCCTTTCTTTTCTGTTCAATCTCCTCCCCACCACCCCGGCGATGGGAGGGGAGAAAAAAAAACAGCCCTAAGAGAACCAGAGCCCCACGGTTTAGTGGCCCTCCGCCACTAAAGCACTAAGGCACATAGGCAGGAGGAAAGGAAGGAGGCTGGAAGAAGAAGGAGAAGAAGGAGAATGAGGGGAGGGCCGGTTGGTTGGCTGGCTGGCTGGCTGGCCGGCCGCGGGCGGGGGCCCACCCTCGGAAGGAATTGCCCGTTGGTCTTTCCAGCCAGTTTTGTGCTCTTAGGGGCCGCCGCAGTTTCTCGGCCGGGCTGCAGATGACAGTCAGTGCATGACGGCCTGGCAGCCCATTATCCAGCTCCCATTGAGGCGTCTTTTCACTCCCATGCTAACTCCTTGGCAGAGTCGTTTGTCTCCTCATTGTACTTTCTGGAAGAATGCGATGCTTGTCAGGGCCCTCATTCAATCGCCAGCTACTTTATTGATGAGCTCTGACTTTTAGCACTTTTCACATGTCAAGAGAAGTCAAGTGTATGCGGGGCTACGACTTCATTTTATGCTTGGCGCGTTCGTGTGTCCCCCCCCCTCCCCTCCTCCGCCTTTTCAGCCTCCTGGAATTTTGAAAGTGGGGGGAGGACGCGCCTTCCTCCTCTCTCTCTTCCTCCCTGCACCCCCGCCCCTCCCTCTCCCTTTATGCAAGAGGAAGTGCCTCCCCCCCACACACACACACCGCGCCCTCAACCCCCCGACCGCTCCCCATCAACGATCGGAACACCCTGAGCTCGAACTGGTGCTGCCGGTGTCACCTTAAATGCAGGCACGGAGGGGTTGCTTTGGAGTGTACTGAGGTGTATCCTAATACTCCGCCATTCAACAAATGAACTTGTGGTAGTGTGTGGCCAGAAGTTTGCCTGCCTTCGGCCCTCGGTTTTTCTGCCTGGGTGCATACAGAAGAAACGGGACCGGAGATGAGATGCAAGATTGGGCCAAAGCTGATGGAAGCAAAAGACATGATCACACACAAACACCCATATTCACCCATGGGGGGGGGGGGGAAGAGAGATTTACTACTCCCCCTCCTCAATTCGCCTTGTCTTTTTTTTTTTTTTTTTTTTTGTAATGTCTGCGGCGGAGGGGGGGGCGAAGTCGAGGGAACCTTACAGCTCTTAGTCAACAAACGGCACGTGGAAGAAGTTTAGGCAAGGACTCTTCAGGCCCTTTTCATGAGAGCCCTCAATACACAAAGTAAATTGTGTATTTGCACTGCACTTTCCAGGCAGAAGGGAGAGAGAGCGAGAGCGAGAGAGAGAGAGGAGAGAAATTCCTTTCTCCATCACATTTGGAGAAAAAGGGGGAATGAATACCCACACATCCAACTGTAGACTTGGCTACCTCCAGGCGATTCCCTCTTGACAAAGCGCCTGTCTCCCAAATATTTATGTCGTTACCATCTGAATGTTATTTTTTCCTTATCTCCATTGTCTGGTGGAAGCTAACTGTTTAAATGCAAATGGGTCGCCTCTCCCTCCCTCTGCCCTCCCCCGCCCGCACCAACCACGGTCGCTTTGGAAAGAAAAGGGCACTCGTTTTTCAAGCGACATTATTTATTTACTCCGGGCCCTAACTCAGAGGCGAGGGGGCGGGTGTGAGCAGAGTTGATATTTTAGTTGCAGGCAAAGAGGCACTTTGGCTCTGGTAAATGAAAGCGGGGGGGGGGGAGGCAGAGGAGGAAAGGAAGCAAAGGAAAGGGGAAGGGAGGGGGGAAAGAGAGGGAGAGAAACTTCAGGAAGGCCCCGGTGGTATTATTTTGGGATAACTTGAGAACAAACCAAGAAAACACCTCTCAAAAGCCAAAACGGCTAAGCTGGGCAACTGCCCTCCGCTCATCCTTGTTGTCCCCAAAGTTTCGGATCTGAGCTAGGAAAAGATAGAAGAGGAACCCAGGGCAAATGGGGGAGGGCGGGGGGGGGGCCAAGGGGGGGGGGGGGGGGAGGGGGGGGGGGGGAGAGAGAATGAGAGAGAGAGAGAGAGAGAGAGAGAAGCCGGTGCATTCATATTCAAACAAATGGGCCAATTGAACCAGGCAGTGTGAGTGAACATCCAATCGGCAGCTGGGAGGCAATGGCGTTGCTTTGCATAAAGCAATATTTTGTGTGGGAGCGAGCCGAGCATTTGCATGCGTGGAGTGATTAGTGGGTTTGAAAAGCGAACCCTGGCTCAGCCTCATTTCCCGCTCTGGTTAAGGCGCGGGGAGGAAGTGTTTTGCTGGGAGATGATGACAGAGGTCAGCCTTTGCTAATGGGCCGACGGAGGCGAGGCAGAGACTAGGCGCACACGCACATTCATACCCTTGAACCATCCCCAATCAGCCTAGGTGTGCTCTGGCTCTCTCCCTCTCCACCACTCTCCCCGCCCCCCCTCCCTCCTCTCACATCCTCTTTCTTCTTCCCTCTCCAGTCAGTGTCAGCCCATTTTATTGTCAATCTCTGTCGCCTTCCCAGGAACTCAAGATCACACAACCAGCAGCGTCACTGGAGAAAAACTCTTTTACTGGCAACCCTTTTTGAGACACCGCCGTTTCAAATCACGGGCGCTTTTTAAAAACTGTTGACAAGAGCTTTGACAACAAGACAGGATGCCTCAAAAAGGTGAGTCTACTTGTTTCTTCTCCTTAGGCTGCATGCTGCCTCCCACCTCCTGTCTGCCTTTCTCTTTCGCCCATTCTCTCTCTCTCTCTCTCTCACACACACACACACAGAGGCATTCCCCCCCCCCTTTTTTTTTCTTATCTCCACTTTTATATTCCGGAGATGATCCTGGGAGATGCATCAGTCTCAAAGCTAGCTTACTTCCTCCTCTTCTTTCATGCACCCTCCCCGCCCCGAAAACAATCTTGCCTGACGAAGCAATGGCTGCAGCAGGGCCGCCAGACTCCCTTAGCTGCCTTTGACTGGACAGTACCCTCCTCCCAAAGACTGGTCTCTTCTGACTAAGGGCGACAAGCTCGCTCGAGGCTTGTAGGGACTCCCAGAACGTGCGTGGTGGATGTGACCGGGTGCCACCAGGTTTTTCTGTTGTTGTTCTACTGCGCCCGCCTGGCGCTCATTCATAGATTGCTTTCTGTGAGGTGACTGGATCGATCCGAGTGTGGATGTCTCCCCCACCCCAGCTCTTTCCCCTTTACTTTTCTTGCTTTGTATTCCAACGAGGCAGGCGCCTGTGTGTTGTTTGGGTGAGGAAGGAGTCCCGTTTGGGGGGCTTTATTTATGGATCTTTTATTCATGTGCCTGGTGATAAGCAAATGAAAAAAAAAAAGGGGGGGGGGGGTTGGTGGTTGTAGCGTCACCTTCTAGGCCAAGTCAGCTCTGAGTAGTTGCTGTGTCCGGGATGGTCTGAGCGAGCCTAAAGGACTGTCACTCTCAATCAAGCAGCCCCCAGATCTCCCCAAACTTATCCGCCCGCAGAAGAAAAGGAACCAACAGAACTTTCTAACTTGACCATCACCTGGCTAGAAGTTCCAACTGTTTAAACAAAAACAAAGGGGGAGAAAAAGGAAACTGGAACCCATCCACCCCCCCCCCCCAAAAAAAACAGCAGGAAAGAATCGAGTTCCCTTTTCTGCACCTCTTTCACCACCGGTTCTGTGAAATCGGAAATCTCCTAAATTTTGCGCTCCACAGAACTTGCGATCTAGTTTCGAAATGAAAGAGAGTTTCTGCTTTTTATTTCATGCATTGGATTTTTCAAATGAACATTTCCTCCTTGTCTGCTTGGATGTCTCCCCTCCTCCTTTTTTTCCCTTTTTTCCCCTTTTTTTAATTGTTCTCCCAGCCCCAGTGAAAATTCAGTACAGTTGTTAGGATGCTAGAAAAGTTTTCCGCCACTTCCCTCCCGCAGCACTTTAAGGCTATCGCTTCCTGCCCACGCAACATTGGTAGGGAAACATCTCATTGAAGTAAATGGCGCTCACTTTTTGAGCCAACCTGCACACGGAAATTGCTGCCTACCGGGGTCACTTAAAAGAGTGAAGGAAGAAGCCAATTTCTCTCTGCGATTTCTTTAAGGTCTCTCAAGGGAACGAAAAATCCACTGACCTTTGCTAAAACTCCTTCAGACCCGCGGCTTCCAAACAACAACAACAACAACAACAAGGGCAACAGCAACAAGAGACCCAACCATCATCACCACCCCCGGAGAGCAGTAGCGAAGAAAGTTTTCAAGGCTGGCTCGAGTTCTTGGAAAAACAGCGAAGCTTTTAAGTGGCGGCTGCGGGCTGCGGGCCACGGTAGGCCTAAAATAATAACTGGGAGTCTTTGGCGATATTTTTCTTTTAATAGTCGGCGACCTTTGCAACCGTCTCCACGCCGTTCGGAAATAGCGTTTGTCTTTTTGGCTGATTTGTCACGGGATTGTGAACATTTACCCTCGCAAGAGCCGACTGTGCTCGCAACAGCATCCTCAATTCGAACAGACCAGGTCCCGATTTGGAGGCGGTTTTTCAAGGAAGGCGGCGCAAATTAGGCCTAACCGGCTGGAAGGGAAGCAAAAATAATAATAATAATAATAATTTTTTTTTTTTAAAAAAATGGAAAGCGAGAGCAGGAGGAGGACACCTGGGACTGGTGGAGGGATGCGTGGCCCCGGCCGCCGCGGCGTCTCTCTCTCTCCACGAGCACAAAACGCAACGTGAGAAATTGGCTGCTTCGTGGCGAAGTGGGAACTGCTCCCCGATGGGGCTTCCGGGCGGGTGTGTGTGTGTATATCTGTGTGTGGGTCGTGTTTTTCTCGTGGACGCCGCCTGGCCCTTGGATAAGCCCCGGCCTCAACTTTTCCCGGTCCTGAGATGGGCGGCCGAAGAGCCAAGACTGTAGAGCTCCGAGAAGCCAAAGTTTCCGCGTGGATAAAGGCGGCGGCTACCAAACTAGCAAAGCCTGCCCCCCCCCCCACCACCCCAGAACCTCGGTCGGCAGCAGGCTTAGCAGGGCAGAGTTGTTGGGGGAGCCGGAGGTGCAGAGAAGGGGGCTCCAGCTTCGCCTCTAGCTGGGCCAGGCCGCTAATCAGGTGCCTCTCGGCAGCGGAGTCAATATTTACCCCTGGAAGGTCCTTCACGCTGCGGGAAAGGCATCGCCGCGGTTCGCTTTCTTGTTTTTTTAAATGGCTTCGGGAGAGCCGTCCAAACCGGGCCCAGTTTGGACTCCGGCCGTCCGCCTTGGCCTCTTTTTCTTCCCCCGGAGAAAGAGTACAATGGATCTCTGTGGGGAAAAAACAGGAATGTAAAAAAAAAAAAGGCTTTCTTTAAAACAAAATCAGGGGGAAAAAAAGCTTTCTAAATAAATAAGTAAAGAGAACGTGGGAGGAGATGAAGGAATTGAAAGCGAGCACCGTTTCATTATTTTATCTCCTTTACCTCTCTCGGTTTTCTCTCCCCCCCTACCCTACCCCCTTCTTCTTCTTCTTCTTCTTTTTTTTTTTAAAGAAAACCCCTCTTGAATAGCTTCTTTATTGTAATTGTCTCACCCCAATTGAGCACCCCACTGCGCTGTTGTATCTTTTTACAACCCTTAACAACTCGCACCAGTAACATAATTACCTCCAGATATTTATAACGAGAAATTACTTCTCTATTTTCCTCCTGCTAGGCTGGGAACCTAAAAGAAAGAGCTGGGATAAAATGCAGACACATCAGGAACTACAGAACTTTTTTTTAAAAAAATGTTTTGGAAGGAAGGAAGGAAAGAAGAAGGAAGGAAGGAAGGAAGGAAGGAAGGAAGGAAGGAAGGAAGGAAGGAAGGAACACCCACTGAAGTCAGGCATTGGGGCTGCCCAGATCCTGGGCCAAGGCAGGCCTAAGGCTGGGAGGAGAGGACGTTTCCTTGTTCTTTATACATGGAAGGGCTGTTGGTACCTTAAGCTGGAAACTGCCTTGCCCGAGCAGGAGAAAGCTAGATGGCTCTTGCGCTCTAGGTTTGGGGAGGGGGATAAAATGGAAGCCATTGTTTGCCTTCCATGAGCTTTGTGCTGGCAGTTCTCACCCCCTCCTGGTCTTACTTTTCAAAGCAGTGAGGCGAGGTAGACAGCGTGTGTCACAGTACAGTGAAAGGGGGGAAGATCTAAAGACCAGAAAGAAGTTAACCAGAATGGGTGGATTTCTCTCTTCTTTCCCTTTCCCTTCTCCCTGCTCTCTTCTCACTGAGGGAAAAAAGGGGGATGGGATTGTTAGTGCCTCTTGAAAAATTGTTAGGGGTTGTTAGTGCCTCTTGGGGGGGGGGATACTTTCGGTTTTCTCACCAAAAAGTAATATCCAACTAATTTAAAATGCCTCAGGTGAGAGATTTGCACAAAACTGGAAAATGTGTTTCTTCTCCTGCTTTAGTATTTATTGTGGTTATTATATTATATTATTTATTATATTGTTTCTTATATATGGTATCTTATATATATAGCAAGTGTTCCTTGTTAGACCAGAGAAAGTTCAGTTAGACCAGAGAAAGAATATGTTATATACTTGCTTCTATAAAAATCAACTCAAAGTCAAGTTGTTGGAGGGTGTGTTTGTTTATTTTTAAACAGCAGACATACCATGGAACAACATTTTGCATTCTTGCAAGAAGCACTCCAATATTATTAAGGAATGGGACTATTCCCAGAGAGTTTCAAAGTGAAGAAAAGCTGGACACATGAGTCTTTTGAACTATTTTTCTTTTCAATCCATGCTTGGTGTCCACCTTTTCTTCACTTCTAAACTCTCAAGAATAGCCCCATTCTTGAATGGGGAAGGGTGGGGCAGGCAGAGGGAGGGAAGGATGTAAACTAAACGGTCCTTAATTTTATTTTTCATGCACTTTTCTTCTTCATTCTAGTGGGAAAACTTTAATCAGCACTACACAGATGTGTGATTCCTTAAATTGCATGAGAGGAGAGTCCACTCATAAATCAGGCAAGTTTCAATCCCCTCCTCTTCCTCCTCCTCCTCCTCCTGTGTTCCCCTATAGCATAATAATGTGAATGGGTCCATATTAGGGGTTAAAAGTGACTGACCAGTCTCTCTTCTCACATGGTAGCTGATGTATTGAGTGAGCTCAAGAGTTCCTCAGAATGTGATTTCTCTTGCATGGTTACATGAAAGATTCAGTGATTTGTTATTAAAGATATCAGGGTTGGGAGAGAACAAACAAATAATAAATTAATAAATTTTGGGGCCTTAATTGAGAGGCGATAGTTTGAATGACTTCTTAGACGTAATAATACTGGAACTGCCAACCTGCTTCATTACCTTGGTTAATATTGATTTTATCACTGACAGTGCCCTCTTCCCGAGCCACGTGGGATCTTGCTTCATCGGTCCACAATGCAGAACAGTAAGTGGCTCTTCCTGTCTTTTGGGATGCCAGCTTGAGCATGTCGAGTTGAAAAGGTGGCTTGGCTTGGGTGGTAAGGTGGCTGGGAAGAGAGAATATTACTCATTTTGAAAATAGCCTTCATAGTGGAAGAGAAAGCTGAAAGAGATTGGATGAATGCGGTTCCTTGGACTCTTCCACCAAGAGATGAGGCTTTTGAACTTGGGGGGAGGGGGAAACAATGTGTGGAGATTCTCCTTCTTTGTCCTTAAGAACATGTTGGAAGGATGGAAACCATCCAGCTCAGAAGAAGCTTTTTCTTTGTAATTGCACCTAATGGAGATGGGGTGAAAGAATATATTTTTGTGGACTGACCCACTGTAAAATTCATCTGCTCCTGGATTCCTCGGCAGCCCTTCAACTATGCAGATTCTTTCTGAGTGTTGTAGAGGGACATTGTGAGAATAATGCTCTGCATGGGGAGGACACAAGCAGGTTTCTAGAAGTCTGGTTCTTTTCCTTGGCTCTCAGTGCTATGGATTCCTGTCCACTTCACACCACCCCTTTCCCCAGCATTCTCCATTGATGGGCATGACAGCCTCTCTGGCAAGATATAGTGGAGCACTGAGGCCTGTGTAACTTTTGCATATCCTAAAACTAGAAAGGGAGGGAGGGAGGGAGGGAGGGAGGAAGGAAGGAAGGAAGGCTGGAAGGCCGATTCATTGCATTAAGGCATGGCTCTCTATTTGTTGTAATGTAGTAAAAGCAACAACAACAACAACAAAGGTGAGCTAGTTGAAATCCTCAATCTGTCCTTGCAACTTTTATTAACCTGGAAGGAAATCCCCTTAGCATGCAAGGTATTTGTCGAAGAAGGCGTGGTGCTAGGGCGATGGAAGCCGCTAGATCCAGGCCGATGGTTTTATCAGTCTGGAGGGTAAAGCAAAAAGTTAGAAGAGACCCTCCTTTTGGTATATTGTCATAGTCAACCCCAGCACCCTCCAAAAAGTAAAGTAAAGTAGAATCGCTCAACTGGAATCCAGAAAACAACAGCGCCTGGGGCAGTTCTTTACTAATGCCCTAGCAATGAGTTTTATTTCGAAACCCAGGCGAGTTGTCCCTGGCATTAGGAATTCCCGAATCATGCATTTAAAAAACAAAACAAAAACGTCAGCTATCCTCTTTGGCGCCTAGGCACAGAGGCGTAATACAAATAGTAAGGGGGACCTTAGCACGCTGCCAGACTGAAAGGCTGGGCGATTTCCACCAGAAGACGGAAGGCGTTCACTGTGAAAAAGATGATGCTGGTTTGTTAAGTGTATTTTAGGCACGGGGTTGGAAGCCTAAAAGCGCGGTGGGACGGGGGAGGCGGTCGTCCCAGATCTCGAGAGGGCCGTTCCCAGTGGCCAGCTGAAAGGGCTTCGTTAGTGCCTTCCTTCCGGGACTCTCCGGAGCTCGGAGAAAAGGGCCTCTCTTTGATCTGGGTGGGATGCCCTTCCAGGAGGAAGAACTGTTGTCTCTGCCTCTACCCTCGCCAGGCCTTTCCGCAGGCTGGAGGGAATCCCGAGTGACAGTGACAGGAAGTGGGGGAGCCGAATTCTGGAGAAGAGGTGCCAGGAGTCACCTGGATATTGGTTTTCCCCAAATCTGGCCACCATTGACTCCCAGCCGCGTCGTTTCCCGGGGAATTGGGTGGAGCACAGGTGCTTTCAGCCCGAGAACGAATACCCAAAATCCCCGCTATTTCTAAAACCCGCTCCGGGTTTCCGCAGGGCCGTAATTTCGTCGCGCAGCTCCGCACCTTAAGCGAGGGGACTCAGCCCCAGATGGCTGGACACTTCTTTAAAACCGATCGGGCTGTTTGTTTGCTGATAAACCCGCTTAGCCTTCCATAAGAAAGTCGGCCTTGTGGACAGCAAGTCGTGCTAAGAAGCATAAAGCGGCTTATTTCTTTGGAGGGAGAGACGGCCGGAGTGGAGAGCTGGGTAGTCCTCCCAGCCTTTATCTTGGTGGGAAAGTTGCTATCCCGGATTGTTCGTGGATTTGGGGGGAAAAAATTGCTCCTCTTGTGCAGCGTGCAGGGAAGGCGAGTTAGCTCGCAAGTTGCTCCTGAGATCAAGGTGAGGCTTGATCCGTTGAGATGGACGGTGCCCTAATTTCCCCAAAAGTTATGCCGGTAAAAATAACCTGGAGGTCTTTGCAAGCGATTCCCATTTTGAAGCATGTATTGTGTTTCTTTTAAATTTACTGTAAGGCAGCCACCCGTCCCTGGCCGGTAGTTGTTATTCGGTTGAGCTTTTAAAGCCTAAAGATCCCTCTTTAGCATGCAAACTCCGTCGGGATTCCCTTGGAGAGAAGTGCAGTCGAGACTCGGTCGCGGAATCGGCTTTCAATAGCTTTGCTTCCCTCTCTTGTCTTCTTCGCTGGATTCGCTCGCTCTTGCACGTAACGCCGGCTCTCTTTCCATCTCCTTGGCTTTCGGAAGCTGGCTTGGAAGTAAGCCCCATTGAGCACAGCGGGGCTTGCTTCTCTAAGGAGTCCCGCAGAAGCTCCGGCCAGGCTACGCCGGCCCTTAGGCGGCTCCAATCCGGCGCCCCTCCTGATCAAATCGCAGGTTCGACTCGCAGCCTCGGCTTCCCTGGATCCCGGGGCTTTTGCACCCTTTTCTCTGAGCTCAAGACTCGCTTGGCTGTGTAGTTTCCCGACTGGGGGGTGGAAGTACCCCCCTCCCTGCAACCGCGGGGTCCCTTTCTGTGCCATTACGCCCCGAGGCCTGTTTGGGGGGGGTGAGTTTCCGAGGTCCGTGGCGCTGAGTTTTATCTGCGGGCTCCTTTCGGGGGTCCCTCCGTGGCTGGGCTGGGGTAGCGTTGATGAAGATTACCTGCTCGAGGTTTGACTCGTCCCTGGAGAAATTTCTGAGAAGGCCGCCTTGAGAGAGCGGCATCCCCTCTGTGGCCGGGCCTCCCTGCCCAACACGAGCGTCTTTCCTGGGAATGGCAAATGCCTTTGCACTAGATTCCCTCCCGACCCCCATTCCTCCATCCTACCCTCAGGGAAAAAAAAAAAGAAAAGAAAACCCGCCGGGATGATTTGGGTGGAGGTCGCGGCCAGTTTGCCCGGCTTTGTGTGCAGAACTCCTGCGTGTCTGCAGCACCGCGCATCCAAATTGGGACCATATGTTTTCCTCTTAGATGGCTCGCCCGAGAAGCCGAGGCGCATAATCATTGCCACTGGGCTCGAACTGCCTGCCTTCTCCTGGGAAATTAAGGCATTGATTAAGGCTTAATCTTTTTTTTTTTTGCACGGAATTTGGGAGTTGGGCTGCCTTCCTTGAGGCGCGGAGGACGAAAGGCGTCTCCGCCCGTCCGGTGTGCGAGCGAATGGCCTCCATCGGCTTCTGTGTGGGGGGAAAGTGGGATGTGGAGGCTTAGGAAGAAGAGCTCTCTCCTCGGTGCACCTCGCAGGCCCCAGAGCTCCGAGCACCCAGTGGCGATGGAAAGCCCCCTCCCCACTTTATGGGGAGCAGAAGGGGGCACCTCCTGCTGCTCAGAACTCAGCTCCGGACTTAAGACTGGCCTTAGGCCTCCTCAGGATGGGGGGGGCGGTGACGACCAAGATTTCTCTGCAGTCCAGGCCAATATTGGGTGGGGAGAGAAGGAGAGGAGAAAAGGAGGATCTGGGTGCCGGCGTTGAGCATAGAGGCTCTCCAGGAAACAAGCACTTGGTGGAGGGAAGACGAGAAGGGGAGAAAAGTGGGCCTCGGATCCCGCCCCCTCCCCAAGCTGCCTTCCTTGAGCTCCTTCCCGGTCAGCAACTCCATCCTAGAGGCAAAGAGGGCCGCTGTTTCCCCGTCAGAGATTTTTTGCAGCCATGGCTGGTCAGTTCTCCAGTGGCCTTTACGCGAAGCCTCACTTTCCCCTCCTCCCAGCCCGCGTCTCCCCTCCCCTCCTCTCCTCTCCTCTCTCCTCTCCTCTCCCCACTGCTCTCTCCAACTCTTGTCACTTCGGATTTATCGCGGAGGCAGCGCGCCCCTTCGGTGGTGTCCGGATTGACCCCGTGGCTACCTTAAAAAGTCGCATCTCCTCGAAGGGATAGCTAGGCGAGTTCACCCTCGTCGGAGTGATACCCAAATCCGGACAGAAAGGGTCGTTTTTTATCCTGCTCCCGTTTGTCGTGGCGATGCAATATCCAAGAGCGGAGCACTGTCACAAAGTGACAGGTCTGCTACAAGTGCTCCAACTGATCTTTTCAATTAGCCTCCCATGCATGATCCGGGGCGACTTCCGCCTATTTCCAGAAATTAAGCTCAAACTTGACGTGCAGCTAGTTTTATTTTAAAGACAAATGTCAGAGAGACTCATCATATTTTCCTCCTCTTCTATATTTGGAGCTTATTTATTGCTAAGAAGCCGAGGCTCCTGGAGTCAATTTAGCAGAAGGCTCCAAAGAGAGAAGGCGAGCAGAACAGAAGCAGAGAGAGAAAGAGGGGAAGAGAGAAAGAGAGAAAGGAGAGAAAGAAAGAGGCCACATCTTCTCCAGGGAACCTTTTTTTTCCTCCAAAGCTTAAAGTTGCAGGTTGGGGATCCTTTTCCAACCCCTTTTGGGAGTCTTGCCTTTGGTCGGGGTGGGGTGGGGGGGGCTGTGCGGAGAGGATGCAGACCAAGCTGGTGGCTTTTCTTAACAACCCCGGTGTCCCTTCTTCTCTCTCCCCCACTTTTTTACCTCCAAAACGTGGGGGGGGGAGGCGACTTTTTCGGGGATGGCACAATTTGGGAGAGGGGGAGAACCAAGCAGCGTGGGCTTCTTCCCCTCTTTGCGGAGCCGGGCATTGTGTGGGGAGGGGAGGGGAAGGGAAGGGAAGGGAGGGGAGGGCACCCTTGCCTGGCCGGAGCTACCCGGTGCTCCCGGAGCCGAGCGCCGGGCTTCCGAGGCTTCCGTTCCACCCCACCTCTCAACCCGAGAGACGGGCGGCTTTTTTCCTCCTTTTTCTTTTTTGCTGCCTCCCCCACTCCCCTCCCTCCCATCATCCGCCGCCGCCGCTTTTCCTTGCTCGCTCTTGCCAAATCTGCTGAAAGGATGACGGCTGAGTGGAAGAGTGTAACCAAATGTTGCTCTTCTGGACAGAGCCGGCCGTCAATGGATTCGGCATTTCGCCTAGAATTGGGGGAGGGGGCCGGAGAAGGAAGCCGGGGCGGTGGGACAGGAGAGCCGATAGCGGAGGAAACCCCCCCCCCTGTCCCGCCCCCCCGCCCCCCCCCCCCGGTCCACACACACACACACATACATACACACAGACGGGGTTGTGGAGGTGGGCTTTTTCTCAAGGGAACGGTGGTGTAGATTTAGAGCCTGTCCGTGTGTCGATTTTGAAGTGACAGAAGGCGATTCCCTTTCTGTGCCTATAACCTAGACGGCGGCTGTCGCGGCTGCGAGACTGGAGGCTTTATTGAAACGCTTCTTTCCTTGGAGAAATGCTCCCCCCCCACACACCTCCCAAGTGCTTCTTCCAGGCCCACCTCGTGGGACAGAGCTGCTTGCCCTCGATCGGCTCTCTCGCCCCCCCCCCGTCCCGTCCCGTCCCTTCCCTGCCTCCCTTTACCGCCCCCCCCCTCTTCTTCCTCCCTTGCCTTTATCATGACCTAGGAGGGAGCTGCCGGCTCTTCCAGGTCTCCTCAGGTGACCGAGACTTCCATTGTCCTTCTTTTCCTTCGCCCACTTCGCAGGTCACAGCGGCGTGAATCAGCTCGGAGGTGTGTTTGTCAACGGGCGGCCGCTGCCAGATTCAACCCGGCAAAAAATCGTGGAACTGGCCCACAGCGGGGCTCGGCCGTGCGACATCTCCCGAATCCTGCAGGTGAAAACGCCAGTCGCCTTCCCAGTTGGAGCCAGCCTGGGGCTTCTTGCCTTCTTGGAAAAACAAGGGAGGAGGAGGAGGAGGAGGAGGAGGAGGAGGAGGAGGGCTTCCCACGGCTGCAAACTTCCCTGTCCAGCTTTCTGGGGGGGAAAAAGAATAATGACTTCTGCTCAGTCCAGCGGTTTCTCCAAATCATGGGAAATATAATATATATATATATATATATACCATAGTCTGTCTCTGCCTTATTGGTTTGTGGTCATCTAGTGCTTCAAGTGGTGCCTTAGTTGACCTGGGAATGAACTGGGCGAGGATAAGAGATAGCCGTATATCCCCAATGCCCTTCTTGGAAATTTCTCCATTGCATTGGGGATGGGGGATGGGGGGAAGCTAAGGTGTCCTCTCCGCCCGGATGTTGTAGCTTCTGTTCTCTGCCTGCATGTATTAAGCAAAGGCTGCAAAACCAGCAATACTCAAATAATCGCCTTTGCTTCGGCAATCCTTACCCCCTCGAGAAGTTTTGGCCAGGTATTTGGCTTTAGGAATGCAGTCGAATTCGTCTCTTGATAGGTCAGCTCTACAGCCCCAATATCGCTTCCCCAGGAATGTGTCTGTTTTGAAAACTGGTCTGAAGATGCCGTTGGTAGCTTATCTACTAAAATCTACTATTTGCCAGCTTTCTTCAGTTTTTCTCTCCCTTCCCCTGTGTCAAAAGACGTTTTTTTTTTTAGAACAAACATTTCACCTTTGTAGCATGTAGGGTCCCAAATGTAATCTTTTTTTTTTTGAAAAGAAAAGAAAAGAAAAAAAAAGAAACCTCTCTTAAGTAAGTTCTCATACCATTGAAGGTATATTTTTGTGTTTATAGACCCATGCAGATGCAAAAGTCCAAGTGCTGGACAATCAAAACGTAAGCTTGTCATTGTTTAATGCCTACTTAAACAATTTTATTTTTGTCTTGAAATTATTAATAATGTGATTTTCTGTCCACTTCCCTGATGCAGGTGTCGAATGGCTGTGTGAGTAAAATTCTGGGCAGGTATTACGAAACTGGCTCCATTCGACCGCGGGCAATCGGAGGTAGCAAGCCGAGAGTAGCGACTCCAGAAGTTGTAAGCAAAATAGCGCAGTATAAGCGGGAGTGCCCCTCCATCTTTGCTTGGGAGATCCGAGACAGATTACTATCGGAGGGGGTCTGTACCAACGATAATATACCCAGCGTAAGTTCCTCGAGAATCTCCTTTCTGTCTGACCTAGAACAGAGCCGTAGATAACCATTCCCCCACCTTGTCTTTTAGCTCCGCAGTCTTCCCTTCTCTGTCTCACTGTCCCTCCTTCCATAGGGGCAAAACTTGCAGGAGCGCTTGTGAGGGTGGGGTGGGGTGGGGGTGGGGGTGAGAAATTACTCGGGACTCACTCTTGGCTTTAAAGCTCTTGGGGATTTAAAGAATAAAAATATACTGCTTTTGACTATCCGAATTGTAAAAGAAACATATCTAAAAATCTAAATTTAAGGGGGGGGAGTGGGGAAATCTTTCTGTGTGACTTAGAAATGGCATCCGGCACAGGGAGATAGACATAGGTTGAACTGTTTCATCTGGGCATTTCTTTCTAATTTGAAGAGGATGAGGCATTTTTTGCCCCAGGCTATTCACTTCCCAAAAGAAGTGAAAGGAAAGTACTCAAGCTAACCCACCCGGGCCCTGCCAAAAGGGATCTAAATTTGGCTGCCTCCGCCAAATACGTTTGAAGGCACAGCTGAAGCCAGAGGTCTCTTGTGCCACTTGCTTTTCACTAGTTTTTTGTCTCAGGCTCCGTAGCATATGCCTTGCCTCCTGAATGCATCTCCCATTCCCCCCACACCACAGTCCTGGGATGGCAGCCTAGCGCTACATCCTTTGGGGAGGGGGGGGGGCGGTTGGCATTGATCAGAGTGGCCCTACTGAAAGCTGGGAGCTTGCAATGAATGGAGCAAGAGGGCCAGGGATGATCTGTGTCTTAAGGGGCTGCTCGCTAAGGAACCCTGGTGAAATGAATGGCGGGCACGATCCCGGGAAGCCCAGTGAGTTTTGTTTCACTTCTGGCTTTCTTCTCTGGGTGGACAGTCCCGATCTGTGGCTGGGATGGGAAAGGGGGGGGGATGGGAAGGGGAGGGGGGGTGAGGTTCTGTACCACTGTGGCTGCCATTTGGTGGAATACAATTTCCCTTCCAGGTCTCTTCGATCAACCGAGTCCTACGCAACCTGGCTAGCGAAAAGCAACAGATGGGAGCAGATGGAATGTATGACAAGCTAAGAATGCTGAATGGGCAGACAGGAACGTGGGGCACCAGACCTGGGTGGTACCCGGGGACGTCTGTCCCAGGACAACCAACGCAAGGTAGGCAGGGAAGAGAGGTCAGTCAACTGCTCCTTCCCTTCTCCTCCCAAATCAATCTGATTTCTCAAATGATCCTTCAGAGCCTAAAGGGGCAAACTCGACAGAGGTCTACCTGACTCGTTCCTCCTCCATTTCCAACTTCCTTCTCACTCTCTACTCTGCCTCCCTGGGAATGCCCACTGAAAGGACGTTTGATAAAAGCAGTGATTTTTCAACCCACTTCCCTGAATCCCACCCTTGATCTAGGGAGACTTCCAGACAGTGCCAGGATAGAGGGTAGACTAGGCAGTTAAAAAAAAAAACCATGGAGAAGAGCCAGTGGATGAAGGGCTTAACAATGGAGGGACCGGACCCAAATTCATCTCCAACCACAGAAACTCCCTGGGTGACTTTGAGCCAGGCATTTCTCTCAGTCCAACCTCCTCCATAGGGTTGTTGTAAGGACAACATGGAAGAGGGAGCACTACTGATGCCCTACATTTGCTAAGAAAACTTCCCAAGTCGCCAGCAGCAGAGTTTCAGGTTGTTTTTAAATCAAATCCCTACTCAACCGCCCGTCCCTTTCTCCCAATTAAAAGGCATCAGATGCTAACTCGCTGATAGACTGTGAGCAAATCCTCACTGTATCAGTTTGCTTTGGAAGCTTAATTAACAAATGATGGAGCCCTGAGTGGGAAGAAGCATCCCCAATGATGGACATTGCAGTTGCAATTCTTCGTCTTTGAGGACCTGACTAGTCGACAGAAGAATTACCGTCCATACCTCTTGTAGAATCTTGCCTTTATTTGCCGGAAAATAAGTATTGGAATATCGAAAATAAGTATTGAAGGGAAGGGAAGGGAACAAAGAGGCAACCTGAGCAGGAAACTCCTGCTGTTGTGGGTTGCTTGTACTTGTTCCTTTTAGACAAGGCTTTGGCATTTTGAAACCCAGGCTGGAGTATATTTGGATTTGTTTTTTCAGGGGACTCCAAATTCAGGGGTGGATCACTGCTGGCAGGCTCTGATGCCAGCTATGCCTGGGCATCCCCAGCTTGCTTGTGGTTGGGGAAGAGGCATGCTTTCACATCGCCTTGGCTTGAGTTTACTCCCTTGAGGATCGGGGCTTCCCTGTTGTTTGTGTGTCCTCTCTTGGGGTGGCTCTGGTCAGCTTTTCCAGCATCCAGTAGCCAACACCCTACTTTGTGTTGTCTGGGAAAGGAGAAAGAATAGAAGAAGCCAGAAGAGAGACCGAGAAAGAGAGAGAGAAAGAGAGAGAGAGAGAAGGAAAGAAAGAAAATCAGTAACAATATGCAGAATATCTGGTACAAAGGATGTTTCTGTCACACACAAGAATTTGTTATGGGAACAATTCTGTCGCTATGTAATTGCTCATTAGAGATCGTTTTGTTTCTCATTAAGGCGACATGAATAAGCGTCTAGTTGAAGGAGACAGCTGTAGAAATGTTCCACAGGAGACCTCTGGACACGATATGGCACCGTTTGCCAATTAGACATGTCAGTTTTAAGAGAAGGGAGCTTTCTAGGAGGGACCCTCAGAAGACCAGGCCCCAAGCCTCATCTCTGGGAGGGGGTGGGGGTTGCATTGGTGGCTGAAATTAATGGAGGACTGAATCCAATACTGATTTTCGGGTATGTTCTTCCCCCTCCATCCCACTATTCCTTTGGACCTCAACACTGAATTCCCCTTGGGAGGAAGCAAAATATCTACCTATCAGCTTTATGCATTGTGTGTAGCCACTGTGGCAGGGATGGTGGGAACAGGTTGGATCCAGGAAGTGAAATATGTGCTGCAGCAAAAGCAAGAAGGACCCTCGTCACACCTTCAAAGCTAGTGGCTCTTTCAAGACAGATCTACAGCTATTTTTTCAGCTATTCCCATTTATACGTCTTTCATGAGCCAGAGCAAGCTCATTCCTCGAAAATGTGTCCCGCCCGCAATAAATCTGCCTTGAAAGAACTACCAGCTCAAAAGTTTCCCATTGCTTTTTTCCAAGGCTCCCAACTGTCTTATGGTGTCCTGAAAAGCATCTGCATTAAAGCATGGAGGCATTGGGCATTGCTGTTGTCTAAGGACTGCAATGGGGCAGCCTGGGACAGCCAAACCAAATCCCAGAGTGGGGGGGTGGGGTGGCCCGTCAAAGGAGCCTATTGGGTTTATTTGTAAGAGCCTCTGGACTCTGGGAGTTTCTACCTGTCTGTCGGTTTAAAGATGGGAAAGGTGTGGTCAAAGCTGGGAATTGCCACAAGCAGGGCATTCTGATGGGAAGAGGAAGGACCAATGTGTGGACCAGGGAGAATTGTGTGAATATATATAAAAAAAGAAGGACCCCCTTCACCATACCTAATGCCAGCTGTGTTGGCCAAGCCTTCCCTAGGGTTTAGGTATAGCCCAACCAATTCTAGCTGGGGGAAGCTGAAGGGTTGTCCTTTAGTTCATCAGGATGACACCAGCTGGAGAATGCCAGGAAGATGCCAGGGAGGCTCTAGATTGGGGGGGGGGATTTTTTCAGAGTCATTTTCAGACCCGAATTTCAGCCAGTTCAACTCAACCCTGAAAGTCAGAAGCATTCTGGTCGCTCAGGTGAAGGGGGAAAGGATTTTCTGGGACCGAATCCCAAAAGCTCACTCATACACCCCTTGGACTGTGAGACCAAAACAGTCTGAGCGAATTTAAATCTGGCACCACTGACTTTAGACTTTAATAGGGCGTCGGAAGCAGCACACTCTGCTCAGGGGAAGATTTTGCACTTATATCCTACGGACGTCTGTGGTTTAATTCTTTTCCAACCCTTTAGCTGGCCCCTCGCGATTCTAAATGCTTATGCGCCCGATCCTAAACTTGAAATGCCAAGAAAAAGACCCAATTTAATTTCAGACTAAATTTCATCCAATCGGAAGTAACCCCGGGGGTATTTAGTGAGGCTGGCCTCTGCTCGGCCATGCTCGGGATGGCATAATAAGTAAGCCGGAGGTAAGAAAATAGCTTTTTATTGGGCGGAAGGTCTTTTCAAAGACCTCGCTTTAAGATTGCCAACATTGAGCAGGTTCTTTCCCTTCTCACGTCGGGGTGTTTAGCCTTCCTTCCCCAGGCTTTGAAGATCGGGATGTCCTCAGTCAGAGCAGGGGAGCTCTAGGGGTGGGAGGTTGGCCGGAGACCCCTGCTTCTCCCTCGTTTGCACTGCTGGAGCCTGAAAGCGTAGAGAAGCGGGGAGCCGTAGCTCCCCAAGAGGGCTTAGCAAAGAAGAGATTCGGACCGGAGTCGCTGCGCTGGGCTCGTTCTGGCGACTCAAAACGGGAGCGAGACTTAGGATAGTTCGCCCAAGTGTGGGGAAAAAGATTCCGGAGGGGCTGAATGAATGAGGGTGGCGAAGATCCGATCCTCTCTTTCGGTCCATGGCAATCAGCCTCCCGATTGCGATTAATAGGGTCCTCTCTGCCAGCCCTCTCGCGCCTCCCCCCTCCTCTTCCAGGATGCGCATCTTTGCAGTCAGTGGTAGCCTCTCGAGGACGGTCGCTTCGACAAGATGCATTCCGTGTTTTCTTTTGTTTTGAAATGGCCTTTTTTAAAACCCAAGATCTCTAATAGCAGGGGTGAAATCCAGCAGGTTCTGACAGGTTCTGGAGAACCGGTAGTGGAAATTTTGAGCACTTCGGAGAACCGGTAGCGGAATTTTTGAGTAGTTAGGGGAACCGGCAAATACCACCTCCGGCTGGCCCCAGAGTGGGATGGGAGATTTTGCAATATCCTTCCCTTGCCACGTCCACCAAGCCATGCCCACAGAACCGGTAGTAAAAAAAAAATTGGATTTCACCACTGCCTAATAGCCTACGTAATTCTGCTATTCTGAGAGGAGTTAGTGCTTCCTCCCTTCTCCTCGTTGGAGAAGCTCGATGGCGAAGAGCAACGGCAGGGGCTTTGGCTGCAGACCCTCTCCGGAAAAGGCGCAGCAGACCCTCTTTCCCTCCCAGGGCGCTGGATGAGCCCCCCACCCCAAAGTCTTAAAAGTGCGCGCAGGCCTCTGGAGGAAAACCGAGGCGGTTCTTTGGGAAGCCGGCGCTGCCCGCCTGTGGCGGTGCTAGCGGGGTTGTTGGGCTTTGTCAGGCAGGAGTGAGGCGGAGAACCGGGCAGATTTCCAGCCGGATCTGGATTGCCGGGAGTCGCTTCCCGGAAGAAGCTGGGGCCTTAGCCTGCGGTCTCGGGGGGTGAAACGGGGCAGGAGTCAGGCAGCCCCAAGGAGGATCGCGGACGTAGGCAGCTCATGCCAACTTCTCTCCCCCCAAAAGGGATACCAGCTGCTCGCTCACTAGAAGTCCCCAGGCAGGGAGCTCTCTGTTTTGTACTGGGGAGCTTCCTTGCCTAGCCCAGGAATAAAATGTTTGAAATTCCAACCTTAATTTCAGGCTGGCCCTGGGCGCGATCATTCCCCGCCCCTCCCTCGCAGCTGGTGAAGCCCATCGTCTACAAATTGAGCCTAATTCGTTCTGAAATCTTTTGAAGCCAGCCTGTTTGGGATAGGGACGCCCGGCTTCCCAATGGTTTCTCTCTCCCACCCCATCCCCGCCCCCCCTCCCCCCGTCCCCCCCTCCCCCCCTTGCCCTTAATCATCGGTCCCAGTTCAAACCAAAGCTTGGTTTGGGTGGGGGGGAATTTAAAAAAAAACTTATTTATGGGCTTCGACTCATCGCATAAAATGCGGAGGTTACATAGGAAAGGAGGAGTGGGGGAGAAGCGGGAGCTTCGGATGGCGGGGGGGAGGAGCGGAGGGGAGGAAGGACGCAGAGAAGTAGACTTCAACGCGTTGTTTCAAAGGATTCCAAGTGTGTGTGTGTGTGTGTGTGTGTGTGTGTTTGGTTTTGTTTTGCCCTGGAACAGTCATGCCAATCTCTGATGTTCTTTTTTTCCCCTTGCAGGGCTGCCTCTGTGTGCCTGGATTTTAAGAGCCCATTACTCCCAAAGCATAAGGCAAGGTTAGGTCTCAGAGGGGGACAAATACGGTC